GACTGTGTATCCAAGATGGACTGGGTATGGCATCCATTTTATGGCCCATCAGCGATACTGAGGCTCAGGGTGACGTGTGTCAGGCATTTGGGCACAAACTCTACTACCAGGTTAAGAAAAATATTGAAAAATGATGGTAGGAAGTGATATTAACAGCGTGTGGAAAGAAGTCTAATTTGAGAGTGGACCTGATTTCCTTAGCCCTGAACTTGGTAGGACTCAAATTCCCAGTGCTCCACGGTTTATACAACTGGGTAGTCTTAATGAGGTCATGGAAGATGACACGGAATCTTTGGAGAGCAAGTGTTGCTGCTGCTGAAGAGAATTCGGGGGATTTTTCAGTGCGAAGAGCTTTAACTTGCTCCAAGGAGCCCAATATCCTTCTTGAAAGGTGCTCCCAGAAACGGGAACCACAGCAGTGCAGCGTTGAAGAGGATGCCCAAGGCACCAACCTACAAGAAGGTGAATTAGGAAGAAAGCAGAAAAGAGACATCCTTGGAAAAACTCAGCGTTACCTGGATTCGCGGAGAGAGGCAGAGGAGCATTGGCCCAGGAAGGGAAAGCTGAGGGCACTATGCCTGTGAACAGCCTGGTCTTTCTCCCAGGTGGCGGCGGGAACTTTCTTAGGGAAGACAATCGTGGAACGTTAGAAGTAGAAGGGATACTAGTGATCATCTACCTCAACTGCATTGTCGCACGACTGGGGAAACTGAGGTCCCCGAGGTGGTGAATGAGCGACCCAAGGCTGCACAGCTAGTGTCTGGTCACCCAGCGGTAGCGCTCATCTTTCCACGGCGCTGTGCTCTGGGTCAGGGTCAGAACACCCTGGGTCTGGAACCTGCTCCCGTCTATACACTAAAGAGATTCTGCAAGCTCTGTGCCCAGTTTTCTCTTCTGCCCTGTTTCATACACTTACTGGGATAAAGACGTGTCATGAAGCATTTAAAAAATAAAGGATTCCTACCAGATGGTATTTCCTAGATTAGAAGTAGGAATTAACTTTGCGTCTTGCCCAGGTTCCAACATAGATATTACGTAAATAACAATGAAACGAAATACGTCCACTTTAATAAACTCAAAAATAACCCGAGCTGGTGTACAACAGGAAAGCCATCTGACGGGGCTACTTCCAAGAAGGCTACAGTATGTTTCCAAAAACAATAAACATACTCTGAGATGAAGTAATGTCCCTCTGCAACACGGCCTCAGACTTCGTAAGAATTTAGAGGTATAGAGCTTGTTGGAATAAAATTTTTTATTATATTTCCAAACTTTGGAACTTGACAGATAATTCTGTAATTACTATGTGACTTATTTTTCTTATTTCCCTATTTTAGTAGGAGAAAATCCTGCTGAGACTAATCTTTCCTACGTTAGCAAACTACATAAATTTTAAATGATATACAAGATCACTCAGACATTTGGTTAATAATTCAATGCAACTGACATCTGCTTAAAAATATTATCAGCATTTATGAACTAACTCATTCATTAAATATTTCAGTTAAGTTATAATTCAGTTTAAGGTTAGCATTTGAATTTTCTAAAAATAGAAGTACTCCATTGATACAATCTGACACTGTTTCATTCCTTATCTACGTTTTTGTATAGAAGAGCACATACCAGATATCTGAATTCATAAAATGTTGATCTTTAAAAATTTACCATGTTTATTCTTCTCTGTATTTTCTTAAATATCTTTGCTAAGAAATTCTTTTGTGTCTTCTCCAGAGGATGTCTGTCATTCAGCATGAAGAAAGGCCATCCTCTCTCATTCCAGAAGTGGCTGAATTTCAATGGGTATATTTTGTGAAATTCAACTAGCTTTCTGCCAGTGCTGCAGGGGGAAGAAACGGATCCAAATCGGCACAGTTGATTTTGCCTTCAGCTCTAGAGCGTAGCAATGTTGTCGTTATCATCAGAACCTTCCAGGACCTAACTCTACCAAGTGAAATAGTACTGCTGCTAAGGAAACAAGATACCTAACAGAAATGAAGTTGATCCACAAGTTTGGTTTCCCTCCCTGCTGAAATTCCAGGCAGTGTGTTTTAACATATGGAGACTTCACTGCCCTCAAGACCTTCTTGGGTCCTTAATTCCTGACCGCTAACATCTGTCCACCCCAGAGACACGGTCGCCACCCTCACATCTTGACAGCAATGCCACGAAAAGTTCTCACAGAAGTTCGATGCATCAGAATGTAGTCATGGGTGGACTTTGCTACCTTAGGGCAGAGAGCAATATTTTAATGTCCATTCGCAGCTTCCTGCATTTTTAAGCTTAGGAAAAAGTTATTCCTATTTCACTCACAGCAAAGTTCTACAAGGAAGAAATGGACTCCGCAGGGTAGGAGACATCCACACGCTTTGGCCTGAGCAAACCGTAACAGGGACTTGCCCGGAGTCCCTCTCTGGCTCAGGGTGATGAGGACGCCAAAAGAATAGGAACATCAAGGTGTGACCTGCGCATTGCCCAAGAGGGTATGCGACCTTTCTTTGTCGAAGTCCAGACAGAACAGACCAAGTAGATTGACTGGCTCCAGGAGTTCAGTGAGGACCCAGGGGCAGCTTTAAGAAGGGTCAGCCGCTGCTTCGGACAGCCCTGTGAGGTCGCAGTGCGGACCGCAGGCTTTGGAGTCGCACAGACCTGGGTCTGCAATCAGACCCGCCTGCTCGCTACCTAACAGACGCTGCAAAAGTCACTTGATCTCTCTGAACTGCTCCTCTTCCTCTAGAAAGGGGGGTGGGGGGGTGACACTGACTACCTCAGTGGGCTGCACGGGATTAGGTGGGCTCTGACTGTGAATGCTGACCATAGTGCCTGGCACACAGCAAGAGATGAAAAAAAAGTTTAAAAAAGGTCACGTGGACTAAACAGAGAGAAGCCGTGTGCTGTCATTACCAGTGAGAGGGCGTAACGAGTCCAGAAGTCCCACTGACATCTTCTGGTTTTCCATGTAAAATGATTACTAGTAACCATTCAAACCAAATTCAGGATTACAATAAAAAGTAGATTTCAAATAATTAGGGATCATCTGAAAAACAACATGGCCACAGGATATCTAGATACATTCAGACCGTGGGAAAGTTGAACAACTAAAGAGGACAGGAAGAGTTGAGAGCACAGTAGCCTTCAGAGTGTTACTTGCTAACGATCACCCACAGTTTCCAAACACCCCTTGGGGTTCCTTCCTGTGGCCAGCTGTTAAGTGGAAAACGACACGGTAGCCTCCGCACTGTCCTCTGAAGTCAGTTGGTGCCCATCTCGTGCCAACTCCATTTGTTCAATAGTTTAAACACCAGATTATAATTTTGAGGTACTCATAAACCAAATCCACATTTTTATTCCCAAAGAGGCTGAAAACATGTCCTGTGCTCCAAAAATTTAAGTTATTTAAAACATTTGAGAAATACGCTTTTTCCATTAGGGCAAACTGCTACAATCTTGCTGATCTAGAGGAGGATACCGGAACCACAGAGTCTGAATGAAACACGTTCAAGAGTATATTTTTTCACATTGAGAAGCAAACAACAAAAGATTTTTCAAAAGCTACCCCCCAAAAAGTCTGATACAATCCTGGCTGGAGAAAAAAACTCAGAAATACAGAAAAGGACGGGAGCGAGTACCCTCCCACTCCCCTTGCCCACCCTGGTCCACCCCTTTTGCAGGCAGGGCATACAATAATTTCCAGAGGAACATGAGATTTTTTCTTTATCAAAGAGGGGCAGAGGTTATAAAAAGGTTGAGAAACACCTTTGGAAACCCACCAGCTGGAGAACTATTTAAATATCACTAAGGACAACGTATTCTTCCCGAGAGGCACGCTTCAGGAAGGAGATGAATTGGAGCCTTTAATCTCCTCTGTGGTGAGCGGAGCCCGAAAAATCAGATTATAAACATTGGAATAGCAGCGCCCCTGGTTCCATCAAAGGTTGTACTGCAGGGACCGTGTGAGACCTTTGTTGTGCCAGTCCTCACAGAACAAGGTCCTGGGATGAGGACTCGCTTCTTTACACAACTGCTTATCCTACATTCGTTTGAAAAGGTCGATAAAATAATAAATATTACCACGATAATGGTCAGTTTTGTGGCAGTTTAATAAAAGCTACTTTTTAAAACATTGCATTTATTGGGGTAACATCAGTTAATAACATTGTTCCGGGGTACAATCCTGTAATAAATTGATACATCATCCATATATTGCATCGTGTGTGCTCACCACCCAAAGTCCAATCCTTTATCACCACATACTTCACCTCCTTATGCCTTTTTCCCTCTCCCCCTCCCTCCCTTTCCCTCCGATGACCACCACACTGTTATCTGTGTCCGTCTGTTTGTTTGCTGCATTTTTTTATATCCACAGATGAGAGAAACCACACGGCTCTTGTTTGTCCTTTTCTGTCTGATTTATTTCACTTAGCATGATACTCCCCAGGTCCATCCACATGGTCACAAATGGTAACAGTGTATCTTCCCTTCTGGCCAAGTAGTATTCCATTGTACAATGTATATGCATTGCGTCTTCATCCAATCATCCATCAAAGGTTGTTCTCATGTCGTGGCTACTGTGAATGCTGCTGCAATGAACATAAAGGTACATATACCTTCATGAATAAATGTCTTCGAATCTTTGGGGTGGATGCCGGGAAGAGGAATTGCTGGGTCGTGAGGTATTTCTATTCTTAGTTTTCTGAGGAACATCTGTACCATCTCCCATAGTGTCTGTACCAGTTTATGCAGTTTCTCCACATCATCCCCGACACCTGTTATTTCTTGTCTCACTAATAATAGCCATTCTAAAAGGTGTGAGGTGGAATCCCATTGTGGTTTTGGTTTGTATTTCCCTAATAGCTAGTAACTCCTCATAGGTTAGCCATTTGTAAGTTTTTGTGAGTAAAGGATCTATTCAGGTCCTCTGCTCATTTTATAATTGGATTCTTTATTTTTTTTTGATGAGTTGTATGAATTCTTTATATATTTTGGCCATTAGCCCCTTATCAAAGGTATTATTTGCAAATATCATCTCCCACTAGGTTAGTTGCCTTTTTGTTTTATTGATGGTCTCTTTTGCTCTGCAGAAACTTTTTAGTTTTATATAGTCCCATTCACTTATTTTTTTAGTTCCCTTTTGGGGTCAAGTTCATAAAACCCTCTCTGAGACCAAGGTCCGTAAATTTACTACCTGTTTCCTTCTATTAGTTTATTGTTTCAGGTCTTATATTTGTCTTTTCATCTATTTGGGGTTAATTTTTGTGTGTGGAATCAAATAGCAGTCTCGTTTCATTCTTTTGCACATGGCTGTCCAATTTACCCTATATGTTACTCTTTTAAAATGACTTTTCATTTAAGTGAGACATGTTCTGATATACCTTTTTTCTGTAAAAGCAGAGTATTTTTGCTTATACAAATAATTTAATCACCTTCTGCTACTTCAGTACCTTCCATCTGATGTTTGTTTCTTTGCATTGAGATATCTACTCGGTGTATTTTCAACCCTTTATCTTGAATGCAGTTGTTCATCATAGATTATTTTTCATTAAAATATTTTAAACAATAGAAAAAATCACTTTTTGGGGCAATAATAACTAGTTCAGGATGATTTGCATAGCTCTGAACAACTGCAGAAGTGGCAAGTTCTGATATCTCATCTGCTGCCAAATTCCTGAATGTTTCAGGAAAGTGCATGTTATTAATGACAGTTCATAACGATGAGTACAAATTTATATTGTCAAAATTATCAGTGGACACTTCGGCTTACGTGAATAGAACCACTTCAGTGTTTACATTATAAAGGGGGTGAGCACGCTGGAGACAGCTGTGTGGATGCCAGGTTGCGGGCGAGTGTGAAGTGGGCGGTGACAAAGACCCAGGGCTGGCAGGCAGTGCAGCTGGAGTGAGGACGGGCTGGAGGCCGGGCAGACACCAGGAGCTCAGAGTCTCGAACTGCAGTGGAGGTGTGGTGGAGTAGGTCAGAGAGAAGCCTGTGCAGCTCAGTGAACATGATACATCTCCCTGGGAGAAGGATGCTCCAAGACAGCGTTTACCGCCCTTGGTGTGGCCCGCTGTTTAACCGCCGAGGCTGGGGCTGGCTGACCTGCTGAGCAGAGCTCCCACGCAGATAAAATCCTGGCCAAACAAAACAGGTGAGCTCATCCAAAGGCGGGCGGAAGTGAAGTCATGAAGTCAGTCGTGGAGAACAGAGGGCTTTTGGATCACCTGTGGCAGCTGGGTCTGTCTTCCCCTCGTGCCCAGATAGGCAACTCCAAACTCCTTTGCTGTGTGCAGGTGTTCTATGCCAGAGGACAGTCTGGGACTGGGCAAGGACCGCACAAGGTGGACTTAACTCCTCAGATGCTTCCCTGGCAGTGGGTCCCCGACATCAAACTCAGAAGGGCTCTTTAAAAACCAGCTGTTTAGCTCTGGGTAACTTGTGTCATTGCAGTTGTAAAACTCATCACTGGGTACTTCTGTCATCTCACTGCCTTGCAAGCCAAGGCAGGTTCACATAGGCCAGTTTTCCAGAGGAAGAAGGGGAAGAGACAACAAATATTAGATGCCATTGGTGACTGGATACGGATTAGGGAAGAAATTATGACATGGATGTTAACTTCCAAGGACCCACGATAGTTAGCTGGTGAAGAAAACAAAATAAGAGTAGAATCTCGTAAGGCTCTACTCCAGACTCAATTATTTGCTTAGAATAGTGAATTCAGGGAATCACTCTTGGGCTTCATAATTTTTTTTATTTTCTTTAGAACCTAGTGAATCATTTCTGACATTTGAGTCTCCATGTAATGTAAAAGGTACCCAACAATTTGGAACTGAGAGAAATAAACATACTACATATTTGTTCTCTGTCAATATGGGCTGATAAAGTGGAGTACTTTAAGGATTCTAATGTCAACTTCTATATCACTGACATGACTAAGATTAACATTACATTTCTCAATCCTTATGGTGCCTTGATTTCAAGAATGTAAGTTTTGCTTAACATCTGAATATCTACTGTATCCAAAACACTGACACTCAGATAAATAAGGAATTGTACCTGTCCAATGAAAATGCATAAGAATGTAAATTAACCTCAAAAGGAAGTGGAGTTAGTCACCCTGAGGAAAGTTTCTTACTAACAGATACAAAATTGAAAAGCATGAGGCAAAATTTGATTTCAACATTTTTTTTAGAAAAAAGGTGCATAACTTTCATCAGATAAAAATTGGTCAAGATCATTGTTTTGCAGTTTGAGCAGTAGATTCTATTTCTAAACTATACCAGATGTCTATTATTTCTAAGATAAAGGAGCTGAGAGTCTATTATAATTACACTTTAGAAAGAGAAAATCTCATACGACCCCAAGTGACCTTTAATGATTTTAGTTTGAAGAACTTTTTCTTGGAGTACCTGGTCATAATCTGCCACTCAGGTGGCTCTGGTTGATTGATTAGAAAAGGAGGAAGCCTCAGAAAAAATAAAAAGTAAAAAGAAGCCTTAAAATATTAAAAAGCAATTCAAAATGTGAAAACGAGAAGCAAAATATTCCTTAACATAAACAATTGAAGTAAATTCAAAGTCTAAACAAACTTAAGACTAACAGTTTCTAAATTCCTTTTTGCCAAAGCTTAAGGCACTAACTGGTCTGTGTGAAGCTAACAGAGAGACAGACAGACAGAGAAACAGACAGACAGAGAGACAGACAGATCACGGATACCAAATCACCACCAATTCAAAGCCGTGAAGTTGCCATATTTTACCAGCAGTTTACAGACAGCAGAATATGCCCTCTTAGTAATGTTCTAAACATTGTGAACAATCTGAAATTGTAAGTCAATATAATGAAAATTAAGCATTAAAGGAAGTTAATGAAAAAGATTGCCTACCTATTTGTAAGCAACCAGAATCCATTATTTGAGACGTTACACATAGTATCTGGGGGTCCAGCACTGGAGAGGAGAAACCATCTGTTGAACGTCATAATCCCGCTGCAGACACTTGATAAATCCATGTTCTAGAATTGGGGTCTGACGAGCCCAGGAACCGGGCACTCTTGGGCCATTTGGTATCAGCATCCCTGCCATGGTAAGGCCTGCCGCACTTGCGAGTGTTCGCGTCTGGGCTCTGCGATGAATCCCCAGGGAAGAGAGTTCCCAGCAACATTAAAAACGAGGGACTCATTTCTCAGAGCTGAGTCAGAAGGTGGCAATGACCTGGGGAGCAAAGAGAAGAGGCAAGGGAAGGAGGACTTTGTAAATGCAGTGTATACACCACATTCATTGAAACACTGTCTCTTGCATCCACAACCGGTATCTGACCAGGAAAGGGGGTAGTGCTGTGTTCATTCTTATAAACAACTATAGTGGTTCCTGTCATATACAAACTAGTCCAGTCTTCTGTGATTTAATAAATGCCTAAACATGGGCTTTTCTTATGTATGTATGCATGCTGGGTAAGGTATGGCATGCATAAATCAAAATCTAGTACAAAATTCTAGTCACAGATGACAGATTTTCAACAGTCTGACCTTACCCTTCAGTTAATGAAAGTACTTTGTGTTTCAAATACACCTATTCATGACACGCACCTCATTTTATCTTGTTTCCATATGGATAGGACTTGCGATGGGGAAAACAATGACAAATCTGTCTCCCTGAAAGCATTCTACCAACCCTCCCTCCTCTGCAATTTATCTCCTGTTCCCTCGTCCCGACCAAGTGGCCCCGAGGGAGGGAGCTGCACTCGGATGCCACTGGTGATGACTGCCGTCGCTGCGTCTCCTGTTTACCAGAGTCAGCAAAGGTCTCTCTGCAGCCCAGTGCCCGGTGCTGGGCCACCTCTGTCCCCAGTACTCATTGCCGAGTGAACGCCAGGGCAAAATCTCCCATGCCTGTCCTCCGTCCCCTCCCCCAGCCGAGCACGGGACAGGCATTAAGTAAGGCCCCTTTCGCTTCCCCCGCTTGCACACTCTCACAAGCCCCCTTTGTTCCCTGCCCTCCGCCCCATCTACACGCTGCAGCAGCAGCCGCCCAGATGTTCTCTATCAAAGCCTGAGCCATGCCAGCAAACTTTGGCACGCATGAAAGTGCACTGAGTGCTGGCCCTCCAGAAATACCTTTCCCCCCCTCTGATTTCTGCAAATATTTTTAAATGTTAATGGGTTCCACTCACCCACAGCCTAGAGGAAGGTTACAGAACAGGGCTCTGTGTGTCCAGCAAATTAGCAGCCCGAGGATACTGCTTGGCGCCTGGGTTCTGTCCCACCCTCGGGCGTTGGCTGGGGTTCTCCAACCTTGAACTGTGGAGGCCAGTTTGCCAGCACATAGCTTTCTAGTGACAGGGGTTAGATGGGTGGTTGACAGGAAAGTTGCTCCAAGCTCCAAAAAGAAAGGGCTCTATCTTGCTCTGATGTTTCTCAGAGCAAAAGAGATCCTTTGAGCATCTCCAAAATAAAATTTTGAAATATTTTCTCCCTCTTACTCATCCTCTTCCTTCTCATCTTTTTTTTTCTAAATAACTTTTTTATGGCTCAACACAGAGGCACAGAACAATTTTATGAGTGCACTGGTACTTTGGGTATCATGTCCCTTCCAAAGCACCTCAATGACAGAAAACTGGTACATTAACAGAAGCCTTGGTGCAAGTTTTAATGAAGTGGAAACTTGGATCTTTTCTATAGAGGTGGAAAAGTGATATGTATTTGGAAGGACAACAGTGACTGGCATGTATTAATCACAGGAGACACTTATTCATCTTACTTGCACTCTGACAGTTATTTCAGGGCCCAACTGATTGAAAGCCACCCTTGAAGACTGTTTTTAATCCTTCCCTCATCATCTCACTGGTCACTCTGGGAACAAATTGCTTAGAAGTTAACATCTAGGCCCTAGTTTCTCCATGGCTGTGACTCCCCTTGTGGCGTATGAGGTCACGATGCTAGAGGTAGGCAGCCCACTCCCCGCCCCCACCCACACAGGGAGTGGGGGACCTGGCTCCCGGGTCTCTGGTGCCCCAGCCGCGAGCTTCAGACAATCACACTGTCACCCACAGGCCTCACAGTGTGCAGCTACACCACAGCGGTCCTGCCTCCAGTGAAACGCTACTCCACCCCTTTCTGGTGGGCAGCAGTGGAGGGCAGGACGGCCCCGGTGAGGTCTGGCAGCAGAGAACATGCAGGGTTACACAACCCAGACAACTCCTGAGAGCCCTGAGAAGCAAAACCACCCACTGACACATCAGCCTAGGCACTGAGAAAGGAACCCAAACCTGACCGCCTACATCCATGAGATTTTTCCATTCCACTGTCTTCACTGGCATTTTCTAACTCTTCCTGGTCTGTTTTCACACGGGTGGGGCTGGCCATGCAGAACACAGTGACGAATCTCTCTCCACTGGAAGTGATCATTACAGGGGCTTCCAAAAGACTCACCAACTCTTCACTGGAAAGCATCCATAGACAGGTGAGTCTGCAGATTCTTTGAATCCCTTGCTTCATAATCTACCTCTTGCCCTTCCAATCCTGGACTATTACACAGTCCTAGTCAAATCTCCACAATGAAAAGGCATATTTAAATGAAACTTCCAGTTCTCAATACACTCTGACCTTAACGCTCCCCAGTCCCACTCCCAGACACTGCCGAAGCTTTGGGAGGTGGTCTTACAGCCTCAGTACGGTAAGCGAGGAGCTCAGCTCCGGCGCACCCACAGACTGTACTACTGTGCTGGCGATATTGAGAGAGCCAGCTCCTGACACTCTGTCATTCAACTCTGACCTGAGATGAAACTAAGATTTTCAGGTTCTGAATTTGATGCTTAAAACAGGGGAAAGTTGGACAGCTTTTCCAATTCTCTCTTTTTTTCTTTAAACATTATTTCTCTCTATTAGTTAAGAAGTTCTGAGATAATTTTAAAACTGAAATTAAGAATTTTTATTATGTGTTCATTCTAAAATGAAATGTAAATACATTTAAAAAGCAAAATTTTACTTTAAAAGCTAAAAATATAAGCAGGGGCCATGCCTTCAATCTCCAAATAAGTGACGACTAATTTTGTTCAAACCAAAATACAGCTAAATGTTTGTGTCAATGTCAATCATTTGGACTTTTCAGACATGAAAAAACCTAGTGTACAGAGCGCTGCTCTTGGCAGTGCCTGCAAGTGTGACTCACCCTGCAAGTGATAAGGCTCCGGCACAGGTACTGTCTGGGTGTCAGGCGAAAGAATGTAAACAGACAGCCAAAGCACAGAAGGGACTTCACTAAATACACGGTATGAATTATTCTCAAACACCAACCCGAGCGGTCATAAATGCGCTGTGCACAGAAAAGCACAGTGATAAAAAACATACGTGTCTACCAAAGAACACGACCATCATACACAACACTAAAAACTCGGCAGGAGAGGCGTGCTGGCCCAAAGGAAAGAGCTGCAGGTTAGCCAGCCACTGCCCAAGCGCACACGCCTCTGTTTAGGGGGAAAACAGGAAGTACAAGCCCAACGGAGGGTTTAGGTATAACAGTGCTTCTCAGGCTAAGTCAGCAGACTCTTGGAGCCTACAAAACTCTTGTCTTTCTTTAAAAGGGGGATCTGCAAGTTTGAGGACCACTGCTACACACCCTACATCCTTACTTAAGCCAATATAAAGAAGATATTCTTTTGGTTCAAGCAGGGAGTTAAACATAATTGTCCATCCGTTCCACCTCCTAAAAATCAGAAAAAGAATTGCAAGTGAAAATCAATCCACCACAAGCCTGGAATGCTGGAAAGGAGAGCATCAGTGTTCATAAAAGAACAGAAAGAATTTTCTAGATCAGACTGTGGGCAGGCAGTTAGTGAAGGCCGGAACGACTGAGCCAATCCCTGCACGTAGAGCCTCTTGCCTCGGTGCTTCCCCTGCAGAAAGGACAAGTGCTGGTGTCCCGTAAAGATGAGTTAACTCAGAGCAGACAGAACGGCTGTGGGAGAGATCTGTGCCTGTCACAAGACCACGAGACCTCACAGAAGAAAACAAGGACCTCTTACACCCAGGCCTGCCCTGGAGCATGTCACACCTCCCCTTTGCACAACGAACGGACAGAGCCAGGGCCCCCCGTGGACTCAGGAGGAACAAGTATTATTGCCCAGATAGGTGAAATGGGTTCCAACAAGCAGCGGAGATCAGCCTTGCCTGGGGGCTCTCAACCTCCTTCGTGAGGTAGACCCCTCTGGCCATCGAATGAAGAGCCCCTCCCCAGAATAGTGTTCTGAAACGTATACTATAAAAAAATAGGATTTAAAATGATGTAAATCACACTGAAATAAAATTCTCAGAATATTGTTTAAATTATCACATAAAACATTTGCTTTTTTATCAACACAAAATGGCAAGATCTAGCAGTAGGTCTAGTACTACCAAAATTCTGAGTTGGTGTTACAAGCCACTCTTACAAATTAATGTGATATGGAAACATGTGTGATTTCTATCAGGGACAAAGTCACAGATTCTGCTGATAATATTCCTATAGTTGCTGGCTACGTTCATAACTGAAAAAACTGCTAAATTTCATTCTGAGGCCAGTGAAAAACAAATGTGGTTTTCCCCATCTGCATGAAGGGACACTGAGTTCCACCCGGGGGCCCCTCAGCGATCTCTGGCCCTCGAGCTCAGGACCGCTGACGGAGACCTTCATCTGCAAATACGAATAAGCGACCAAATATCAAACATATGAGAAAGTCAACCGAATGTTTTTAAAAAGCACTAAAGTCCATAAAAGAAGCAATTCCTGAGGAGAGAAAATTATAGGAAATTGGAAAGAATAAAATGACTACAACTAGTAACTACAGATAGCTTCAAAAGGAAAAGGTGTTAACTAACAAACTATACCAATCAAAACAGGATGCTATGAAAAAGCAGCAGAGATTTTGGGGGGAAATTATCATGATTGATGAAATAGAGGCTGAACTGAAGAATGACTGAGCCTCATTCAGTCAAAAAGATAGACAGTAAAAGAACGAGAGACAGGTACCTGCAAGTGTGTTTACACGTGCACATGCACACACACACCTGTGTGTCTAGGTGCTACATTCAAAGTGAGATGAATCTGTTCATGAATCTACCTATCTCTCTACCTACCTGCCTACCTACCTACCTCACCATGAACTCTTTCTAGCCTTTCTAGCCTCTTTCTGGCAGGGATGTAAAGAGTATAAGTTTTTCTTTTCTTTAATACATGAT